CTCCCCCCGCCACCCCTTACCAGGTGCCGCCCCAAGCATGTGCTTGGGTGCCTGGTGCCGGCCCTGCTTGCAAGTTCTTGCAGAGAAGAGGCAGACAGAGCACTGGCTTGGGACATGAGACTTTCTCAAACAGAATAGGCATCTGCAGGGCCCATCTTTCAGAGGAATTAGCTCATTGCAGGGCAGACAAGGCTTAAAGCCTGTGGGTTTTGAATTTCCCATTCTAGGAGCCTATGCAGGGGGCCCTTGTATGGGAGGGCCTGGACACCAGGGTCTGCAGGCAGCTTTTGGTTCAACAAGTGCTAGAACAGACTAGGGAACAAAAATAAATAATGAAGATGGTTCTGAGGAATCTCAGAAGATTTGAAGGACTTTTTTTGAGAGAGAAATTTAGCTAGAGCTAAAGTCCATGGGTTTGATACCAGCTAAGTTCTGTCTCACTGCCAGAAGCAGTAAGAGGGAACTGTGGGAGGGTTGTGGACACCCTGGCCTTTATAGCCTCATAAAGCAGCATGCAGCAGTACAGGATGCATGCGTAGCCTCTAATTGACAGTGCTCTTCAAAAAAAAATCTGGTTCTGTGCACAAGGGCACAGCGCACCTAGTGTGGAGTCCACACTGACGCATACACAAAGAACAGCTCTGAGTATCAAAAGCTGTAAGGAGACCGTAGTCAATACCAGAGAACTGCTCTGGACGGATAACTGCTGTTACACAGAATCCAAGAATTTCTGTGCACTGATATGATGGACGTGTGAAACTAGATGTCTTTGACGTCAAAAGCCACAAATCAATCTCCTGGACTCAGGGAAGAAATCACAGAAGTCAAAATCACCATACAAAATTTGAACTTTCTGATGTACTCATTTAGTTTTTGAAGATTCAATATGGAACAAAGACGTCTGCTTTTTGGAAACAAGCACTGGTGAAAGATCACTTCTATGGCTCCTAGACTGAGGAATGATGGGACTATATCCCTTAGCACTTTCTCCTGACAAGGATGCCCGTAAAGGGATCAGAAAGGGAAACTGAGTGCAAATGAATGGCATAACCTGATTCTACTATCTCCAGGACCCATTAGTAACTGTACTCTGTGCTTCAAGGAAGAAGGAAAGTCAGTCCCCAAACAGAAACCCAGAAGGAAATTACTCCAGGATGGGAAGTGAGCCAACATCCCCTGGGAGCCCCATTTGCTTTGTAGTGTGGAGGATTAAGATGCAGCTGTAGAAACAGCAGCAGCTCTTGGTGTCTTCTCTGAAGTGCTTTGACTTCTGCCTATCAAAGGATCTTTGTAACCCACCCTATCACCTGTTGTGACTGATGTTGGCATTGGCAAAGGAAGGGAGCTGGTCTCGTCTAATAAGGACTATATAAACCTACAGATTGCTAGTTTTTCCATTGTCTCATCAGTTTTCATACTGAAAAGGTTTGGTCCATCAAACAGAAAGTCCTCTGCTTTAGCTTGTACATTGATGAAGGGTGAGTGGTAGTCATGATGAGAGAGCAAAAAGCTGTCTGAATCATTGTACAGAGCTCTAAGCTCAAGATTCAGAATCTTCTGTCATCTGGACACAATGGATTTGGATTTGGCTGTAGTCTCCTCTGGAACTGTTCCAGGAAAGGCGGAAGTGAATCCCAGAAGAAAAAACTGTAACTTGGAAATAGAGCCTGATAAATTGCAATACACATTTCAGCATGGCATCACCCAATATAGATCCTGGGCATACAGAAGATGGAGTAAATCCAGAACTCAGGCTTGTTCCAGGAAGTCCTTATTTATCAGGATGGCTAAATTAACCCTATTCTTGAGTTTCATAATGTCAAAAGTCAATTATATTTCTCTAGCATGATTGACAACTCAAAGTCAAAGGCATCACCAATATAACCTAGCCATTTTTGGAAGCCTCTAAAAATCACCTAGAAGGGAAGAAGAACTATTTCTAACCACTTCACAAGAGAGGCAGAAGATGGAACAGCTTGTTCTCTAGGTCCAGTAACTATCTCTTGTTTTTCTACAAGATAAACTCTAGGGATTATTTTGGGGAAGTTCTATGACCTTTGTTACACAGGAGGTTGGACTAGATGTGTGAAATTCTATATCTTGGGAGCACCCTGTATCCCCCATATTCTTTAGTTATATATAATTGTGATATTGCTATAAATCAGGCCATGTGAGGTATCAGGAGAAAGATTATGATCTGCTGAAAGTCATTGTTCTAGCTAAATACGTATATCATTGGCACATATGAAGTTATGAGATTGTGTTGTATGGTTGTCACTAAAACATGGTATAAGTTGGGGAATTGACCAGATGTTAGCTCCCTAGAGACTCTGAGACAACAGCAAGGAAAGTAACCAACGCCCGGGTGGGTGTCGAACAACCATCAACAGCCGTTGTCCAGCAAGGGTGCTACAATGCAATGACTCACCTGCATGAGGCCACACCAGGGGAATTGTTCAACCTTGCCTGGGGACTCAGCAATGCCCACCAGATATGCCTGGTCTTGTGTTCTCCAAGCACATGGGACTAAAGGTCTAAAACAGAACACAGTGGCCTCATACCTGGCCTTTCTCCTTCCCCCACCTATGCTGCAAGCAACAAGGACACTCAGAAGACTGAAGACTCCAACAGAGGAGACTGGCCCAGATTTCTAGGGGAAAACCTATGTACTATGAACTGCAATATCCAGTGGGGTGATATCTTAATCTAGATGTTGCCCAATCTAATAGGGTTGAGAGTTTAGATTGCGTGCTTATATTTTATTTTCTTTGGTAGCTAACTCTGACTTTTTGCCTATCACTTAAAATCTATCTTTTGTAGTCAATACATTTGTTTAACTGTTTACCTTTACCAATGAGCTTGCCTGAAGTGTTTGGTAAATCTGCTCAGGTTTACAAAGGCTGGTGTATATCCACTTTCCATTGGTGAAGTGGTGAACCAATTAATAAATTTGCATTGCTCAAGAAAGGGTCTCAAGCAGTGCAAGACAGTATATTCCTGAGGTACAAGGCTGGGAGCTGGGGGGATTTGGCTGGTGCCTTGCTCTGTGTGATTCATGAGTGGCTCTGGAAGTATTCATGCAATCTAGCTGGGTGTGGGGCTCCACATGCCATTGTGCTGAGTGATAACAGCGCCTGGAGGGGGTTGCTACATGTCACTTGCAAAGCATTATGAGAGACAGCTCAGGCTGGAGAGTTAAGGGGGCACAGCAGTCCCACCATCCCAGGCTGCACTCTGGGGATCCCGTCACAAGATGATCACAATGGTCCCATCTGGCCCTGGAATCTATGATTCTCCTGTTCCTCTTCATAGAATCATAGAAGATTATGGTTAGAAGAGACCTCAGGAGGTCATCTAGTCCAACCCCCTGCTCAAAGCAGGGCCAACCCCAACTAAATCATCCCAGCCAGGGCGTTGTCAAGCCGGGCCTTAAAAACCTCTAAGAATGGAGATTCCACCACCTCCCTAGGGAACCCATTCCAGTGCTTCACCACCCTCCCACTGAAATAGTTTTTCCTAATATCCAACCTAGACCTCCCCCACTGCAACTTGAGACCTTTGCTCCTTGTTCTGTCATCTGCTATCACAGCCTAGCTCCATCCTCTTTGGAACCCCCATTCAAGTAGTTGGAGGCTGCTATCAAATCCCCCCTCACTTTTCTTTTCTGCAGACTAAATAAGCCCAGTTCCCTCAGCCTCTCCTCCTAAGTCATGTGCCCCAGCCCCCTAATCATTTTTGTTGTCCTCCACTGGACTCTCTCCAATGTATCCACATCCTTTCTGTAGTGGGGGGCCCAAAACGGGATGCAATACTCCTTTTCCTCACATTGGAGCACAGGACTGGAAGGGACCTTCTGAGTCATCGAGTCCAGTCCCCTATTATTGAAGGCAACCACATCACCTAATCTCAGTCATAAATTTATCAAGAGCTATCTTAAAATTAACTGGGTTTCTTGCCCCCGCAACTCCTATTGAAAGACTGCTCTAGAACCTCATTCCTCTGATGGCTAGAAACCTTCTTTTAATTTCCAGCCTAAATCTATTCATGGCCAGTTTATACCCATTTCCTCTTGTGCCAACATTGTCCTTTAGTTTAAACAGTTCCTCTCCCTCCCTGGTGTTTACCCCCTAATTTATTTATAGAGAACAATCAGATCCCCTTTCAGCCTTCATTTTGCTAGGCTAAACAAACCAAGCCCTTTGTCTCCTCTCATAAAATAGGCTCTTCATTCCCTGAATTATTCTGGTAGCCCAGATTCTTAAGAAGAATCATACTCTTTCATGGCAACATGTCCTATCCTATCTCCTAGAACTGGAAGGGACCTTGAAAGGTCATCAAGTCCAGCCCCCTGCCTTCACTAGCAGGACCGAGTACTGATTTTGCCCCAGATCCCTAAGTGGCCCCCTCAAGGATTGAACTCACAACCCTGGGTTTAGCAGGCCAATGCTCAAACCACTGAGCTATCACTCCCCCTAACAGTAACTCTCTGTTACTAACAGTCAACTAACAGTAAACTCTCTCTGGACCAGAGGATCACTCAGATATTTGATCCTGATGCAGCAGCAAATATAGTGTAATATTGTTGGGATATAATCATATATGTTGTGACACATATATACACATATATATGAATACGTTGTAATACGCTATAGGCCAGTAGGCCTAGTGTGTGTGAAGTATGCTTGAGATGAGTACGTGGGTTGCGTGCTGGCAACCGAAGCAAGGATTTAAGGTTGCGAATGGTCAAGGACTGTTCTGTGCAAAACAACTTGTTGTGTCCATGGGAAAGATAAAGAATCAGCAGAAAAAGGAATAACATCAGTGGTGTTGTCACAGCAATGTATTCGCTACAGCTGTGGAGCTGTGGACAAAAATTGGGGGAAATGAAATGCCTTGGATTATGGCAGCCTGCCCAGGACTGTTTTCTTGGCAAAGGTAAAGGACAGATGACGCGACGGAATGGACTATAAATGGTTGTCTATGATATCTGCAATTTGGAGTCAGACATCAATCCAGAGCCCTAATTTTGAAGAGGTGTGCAACGCTGGCTCCCCAGGCCTTATGACTGGAAGCAGACCTCGACTGGCCATCGGGACTTCGTTCTAATCGTCAGACTCTGATACAGTATGAAAGGGGTATGAATGTGGAGTGAGTGGGGTTTACATTGTAATCAATAAAAGTATTTAGAGTATTATATACCAACACTGTGTCCGGCATCAGCCTGCTCCCCCATCCTATAGGGAGGCCTCTATCAGGACCAAACAATTTTGCCTTGATGCCTATTCCTACAGGTCAGCAAGGCTCAGGAGTAAAGGATCCATAAAACAGGGAAGGACTAGAAATCAAATGAGGCTGGAGAGGGCCAAGGAGAAAATGGAATCTCGGTCTGTGGCACATTCCTACAACCCCCATCATTCCCAACATAAACAAACATAGAAATGGATCCCTGAAGGTTTCTGGGTTCCCAGCGCCTTCAGAATAAGTCTCTAGCTCCATCTTAGTCGGATGTGGGACTGACTCTGACTGTCCTCAGGTCAAAGCCTTGGATCCAGAATTGCCCGCTCCAAAATCCGTGGTGTTGTAATCAGGGAATGGTGTCTGCTCAATCAACAGAAGAGTGCAGCCTGCAGAAAACTCAGCCTCGGACTCCATTCCACAATCCCGATAATCCAAGCAAACAGCTTGTGCCAAAGAGGATGGCCCGGGGGCAGCTCACTCTGTCAGAGCTGAGGAACCAGATATCGAAGAATTATACTGGATTGTTTTGGAGTTTACACAGTACCATGTTGCAGGAAAGGGACATGGGCAGATACTTCTGCTTCAGTTTATTAAGCTTGCACCAAAAATAAATCCTCACTGGGACTTCGGGTTTTCTCTTGTGACTCCTGATGAGCGGCTGTCCGGCTGAGCGAACCCTGGCCCTGGCACATGGATATTAAAATGGCCCTACCTCCCAGAGGTGGTGAGGCTGTTTGCAAAACATACAGTGATCCTCAGATGGAAAGCGCTCTCTCAGAGCATATCTTCACTATGGGGGTAAGTCGACCTATACTATTCCAGCTACTCAGTGTCGAGTGACATTACAACTAGATCCAACAAGTATATCTGTGTGCTGCACAAGGCCCTTTCCCCAACCTCACCTGAGCTCTGCCAGCTGCTCTGAAAGGCCACGTCTGTCCCGCTCCACAGCCCCTAGTCGCACCTCCAGTGCTGCCTTCTCACGCACCAGGGCTTCCTTTTCTCTGGATACTTTAGCCAGTGCATCTCCACGGCGACTTGACTCCAGCCGTGTTTTCTCCAAGTCAGTGCTGGATGACTCCTCCTGGCGACACATCTGAAAATGGGGGGAAAGGAGGAAACGAGCTCCTACTACTAGCCAAGGTACTCTCCAGAACTCATCAGCTTCACTCTTGAGCTAGCCAGAGGAGAAGGTTGAAGGACTGAGATAATCGCCCTTCATGGTGTCACTCTGCACTGATGTACCAGGAGACAACCAGGCCTGAAAATGACAATTTGGAAATGATGTCTATGTCCATATTGGGTTGCTTGGGATAGTACTATAGCTCTGGTCCCTCGGCGCATGGGGCCCCAGTAATGAGTGAGTGTTGTGGGAATGTGGAATCGATCAGTGCTACGCTCAGCTGATGTGGCAACTCATGGTATCGGACGCCATCAGGTAGTCGAGGGACATCTATTTAGAACACATCACCAGACATCGGCGATACCAGGAGAGATGAGCTGGAGTGTCATTGAGAAGTGAAGTCAGGAAAGTAACTGAAATACTTCTGTGATGGATTGTATTTACCTACCCTAAATTCTCAATTACTGAGGGACAATCTACACTCATTGCTATATTTGCTTTCCATAATCTACTCTTAGCCCTGGTCTACACTATGAGTTTAGGTCGAATTTAGCAGCATTAGATCGATTTAACCCTGCACCCGTCCACACGACGAAGCCATTTTTGTCGACTTAAAGGGCTCTTAAAATTGACTTCTGTACTCCTCCCCGACGAGGGGATTAGCGCTGAAATCGACCTTGCTGGGTCGAATTTGGGGTAGTGTGGACGCAATTCAACGGTATTGGCCTCCAGGAGCTATCCCAGTGTGCTCCATTGTGACAGCTCTGGACAGCACTCTCAACTCAGATGCACTGGCCAGGTAGACAGGAAAAGCCCCACGAACTTTTGAATTTAATTTCCTGTTTGGCCAGCGTGGCAAGCTCAGAGGTGACCGTGCAGATCTCATCAGCAGAGGTGACCATGGAGTCCCAGAATTGGAAATTGGCTTACAGGGAATTAAAATCAACAAAGGGGGCGGGTTTGCATCAAGGAGAAACACACACAACTGTCACACCGAAGCCTGGCCAGTCATGAAACTGGTTTTCAAAGCCTCTGTGATGCACAGCGCGCCTTGCTGTGCTCTTCTAATCGCAAACAGCCTAGTCAGCAAACAGTGCCAGCGAGATTTTAAACATCCAAAGGCACATTCTACCACCATTCTGCACTTGTTCAGCCTATAGTTGAACTGATCCTTACTACTGTCCAGGCTTCATGAGCCATGGGAGCAAGGGGTAGGCTGGGGTAGGTGCGACCGCGCAGTGCTGCTGGCTGGGAGAGCAGCCTGAGGCAAAAGCCTCCAGCTCGCATGATATTCCACGCAGGACTGAATCTCCATTAGATGAAACTTAAAGAAGAGAATGACCTGGAGTCACTCCCATGTCTGCCCAGGTGCCCCTGACCGACCTCACCAAGGTCTGCCAGGAGCACCCATGTCTGCCCAGGTGCCCCTGTCCGACCTCACCAAGGTCGGCCAGGAGCACCCAGGAGATGACAACGACGGCTAGCAGTCGTACTGCACCGTCTGCTGCCGTGAAGGCAAGGAGCTGCTGCTGTGTAGCAATGCAGTACCGCGTCTGCCAGCAGCACCCAGGAGACGTACGGTGACGGTGAGCTGAGCGGGCTCCATGCTTGCCATGGTATGTCGTCTGCACGGGTAACCCAGGAAAAGAGTTGAGAAACGATTGTTTGCCGTTGCTTTCACGGAGGGAGGGGGGCCTGACGACATGTACCCAAAACCACCCGCGACAATGTTTTTGCCCCATCAGGCATTGGGAGCTCAACCCAGAATTCCAATGGGCAGTGGAGACTGCGGGAACTGTGGGATAGCTACCCACAGTGCAACGCTCCAAAAGTCGACGCTAGCCTCGGTACTGTGGATGCACTCCACCGACTTCATGCGCTTAGTGGGGGGGGACACAATCAACTGTATAAAATCAATTTCTAAAAAATCGACTTCTATAAAATCGACCTAATTTCATAGTGTAGACATACCCTTAGTATAACCTCTTATGAGTGATGTGCCCAAATATTTGGATGCTAATACTTTTAACTGTATCACTGAATTTATTAACCCTAATTTGTTATTGCAGATTATACCCAGAAGTACAGACACTCTTTCCTTAACCTGTGTATTAGACAATTCTAACATTAGCTCAGGCACTACCAACACATATGGCGAAGGCTGCTTAAGTGTTTCCATGCAAAGATCCTGTATTAAACTTTCCAAAGCTTTCACCTTTCAAACTGAAATCTTTTGAGAGTCCTGGGTCGAAGTATGCCCGAAGGTGACTTTTTGAAAAGTTTGAGCAAAGACAGTTTAGGCATTTGTGAGACCGAGGAGAGTAATAAATAAATATGCTTTCCCATTCTTAAAAAATGACAATTTGATCCCACTTTTCTTTTAAGTGGCTGGGTGTAAATAGCTTAGATTTGGCACGAAAACAGCTCTTGGGGATGAGAAGTGTCTTCCAGCACTCTGTGAAAATCAGTTTGATGTGGCCAAGTTATGAGAGTGGGGAGATGGTAGACTGCAAACGTGCCTGCACCAACAAGGCTTTTGATTTATAACATAGTCCTGTCCATAGGTGCTGCACAGATCAGATTCCTCCTACACATTTCCAACAGACAGCCGAGCTTGAACACTAATCCATGCTATTTAGCTTTTCTTTCATCATAGCACCCCAGCTGGGTATTTGTCAAACAAAGCATAGTACACAAAACCTCAGATTATCAAACAAAGAAAAGGCCTTAAAATGAAATAAGATAACAAACCTATCCTATATTATAATACCCAAAATTAGTATAGCAGATTATGAAACAATCAAACAAGAGAGGAGATATGATTGCTCTCTTTAAATATATCAGAGGGATAAATACCAGGGAGGGAGAGGAATTATTTCAGCTCAGTACTAATGTGGACACGAGAACAAATGGATATAAACTGGCCGTGGGGAAGTTTAGGCTTGAAATTAGACAAAGGTTTCTAACCGTCAGAGGGGTGAAATTTTGGAACAGCCTTCCGAGGGAAATGGTGGGGGCAAAAGACCTCTCTGGCTTCAAGATTAGGCTAGATAAGTTTATGGAGGGAATGGTTTGATGGGATAACGTGATTTTAGTCAATTAGGCAATAACGTGCCATCGCTGGTAAAATGAGGGTCCGGCTGGAGAATCTTGCCTGTATGCTCGGGGTTCTACTGATCGCCATATTTGGGGTCGGGAAGGAATTTTCCTCCAGGGTAGATTGGCAGAGGCCCTGGAGGTTTTTCGCCTTCCTCCGCAGCATGGGGCAGGGGTCGCAAGCTGGAGGATTCTCTGCGACTTGAAGTCTTTAAATCACGATCTGGAGACTTCAACAGCTGAGTTAAGGGAAAGTGGGTGGGTCAGCTTTTGTGGCCTGCATCATGCGGGAGGTCAGACTAGATGACCATAATGGTCCCTTCTGACCTTAAAGTCTATGAGTCTATGAGTAAACAAGTGAAGACAAATTCCCCATTCTACTCCATTGACACATGATGCTCACAAATTTTCTTTTTGATATACTAAACTAAAATTAGTTCAGTGTCAGTTTAAATTGTCTGTTTGTTGATTTCTCTCTTCTCTTCTTCCTCAGGGCTTGAGGAAGGGCTCCCACGTAATCAAAGTTGTGTTACCACCTTTCCTAAAAGTTTACTGGTGAATTTTTAAAACAGGTACATCTGATGCTCCATTTCCACCTGTAACAGGGCATGATGGCCCTTTAAGGCAGGCTACAGCTCTGCTCTGTTACAACCCAGAATAAATGGAATCTTGGGAGCGGTAGGCTTTCCAGCAAAGAATGCTGGAAAATTAGACTTTTTATAAAGGGTTCTCTCACTTCAGTAAAGGAATGATGAGGGAGGGAGCAAGATTTGCTGTGGGTCTCTCTTTGGACATGGACAGAAGCAGAAGTTCGAGGCCTCTCCAGGCAAAAGACCTGCAAGTGGCTTTAGAAGAATTCTGTCAAAGAGCTTAGGAGGAGGCCCCACAGACAGCTGGGTAAAGTACACTGAGGAGTAGGAGTTTCCCTTGAGACCCAGGCCTTGGGAAGTTGAGGGTTGGTGGTAGAGTGAAGCAAGTAGCCTTGGGGAAAAGGAACTGGGAGGGTTTGGGGTTGGACTTGACTTTAGCAAAGCTTTTGATATGGTCTCCCACAGTATCCTTGCCAGCAAGTTAAAAAAGTATGGATTGGATGAATGGAGTATAAAGATAGATAGAAAGTTGGCTAGATCATCAGGCTCAACGGGTAGCAATCAATGGCTCGATGTCTAGTTGGCAGCCGGTATCAAGCGAAGTGCCCCAGGGGTCGGTCCTGGGGCCGGTTTTATTCAACATCTTCATTAATGATCTGGATGATGGGATGGATTGCACCCTCAGCAAGTTCACGGATGACACCAAGTGGGGGGGGGAGAGGTAGATATGCTGGAGGGTAGGGATAGGGTCCAGAGTGACCTAGACAAATTGGGGGATTGGGCCAAAAGAAATCTGATGAGGTTCAACAAGGACAAGTGCAGAGTCCTGCACTTAGGACGGAAGAATCCCATGCACTGCTACAGGCTGGGGACTGACTGGCTAAGTGGCAGTTCTGCAGAAAAGGACCTGGGGATTACAGTGGATGAGAAGCTAGATATGAGTCAGCAGTGTGCCCTTGTTGCCAAGAAGGCTAATGGCATATTTGGCTGCATTAGTAGAGAATTGCCAGCAGATCGAGGGAAATGATTCCCCTCTATTCAGTACTGGTGAGGCCACATCTGGAGTACTGCGTCCAGTTTTGGGTCCTCCACTACAGAAAGGATGTGGACAAATTGGAGAGAGTCCAGTGGAGGGCAACGAAAATGGTTAGGGGGCCGGGGCACATGACTTAAGAGGAGAGGCTGAGGGAACTGAGCTTATTTAGTCTGCAGAAGAGAAGAGTGAGGGGGGATTTGATAGCAGCCTTCAACTACCTGAAGGTGGGTTCCAAAGAGGATGGCGCTCAGCTGTTCTCAGTGGTGGCAGATGACAGAACAAGGAGCAATGGGCTCAAGTTGCAGTGGGGGAGGTTTAGGTTGGATATTAGGAAAAACTATTTCAGTAGGAGGGTGGCGAAGCACTGGAATGGGTTACCTAGGGAGGTGGTGGAATCTCCATCGTTAGAGGTTTTTAAAGCCTGGCTTGACAAAGCCCTGGCTGGGATGCTTTAGTTGGGGTTGGTCCTGCTTTGAGCAGGGGGTTGGACTAGATGACCTCCTGAGATCTCTTCCAACCCTAATCTTCTATGTTTCTATGAAATGGGGTGGCTCAGCTTGCAGCCAGTGGGGTGAGGGTGATGATGGGATAGGAGGAAGGCATGGCCTAGGAGACACGTTGCTGAAGACAGGACAGGGAGAAGGTAAGAGGATTTGTGAGAATGAGGTTGGGAAGGGGAGAACTGGATGAGGACAAGTGAGGAGTGGATCCAGAAGATGAGTGAAGGAAGCCTGGTGGTGGCTGGAGAGTGGTTAGCAGAGACAGAGGACAAGGTGTAAATGACAAGTCATATATAACAGGCAACAAGATAAACATTCAGTTATGGCAAGTAATCAAGGCAGGGTACCCGAAGGAGCTAACTAATAAGTCAAGACAGGAGGCAGCAGTATCATCCTGGTCAACTTGGAGTGAGTAACAAAGGTTGCTTAAGGCCAGCTACCCTTGGCATGGAGGCTCTTCTAGAAAGCATGGGCATTTATAAATCATTCCCAGGAGCTGCAGGCAGGGGAAGTGAGGAGCAAGGGCCCATGGGATTCAGAGGGCCAAAATAATCTGTAGGAACACAAGAATTGCCAGAGTGGATCAGACCAATGGTCCATCCAGGCCACTATCCTATCTCTGACACTGACCAATACCAGCTGCTTCAGAGAAAGGTGCAAGACACACCAAAGAAAAGTGCATGAATCCCCGACCATAGGATAATCCCCCCAGGGGACTGTCCTCCAAATCCAGAACTGTTAGAGACTGGCTTCAGCCCCAATGCAAGAAGATTTATAGCCCTTCCATTTCCTTTCTTAGTAGTTACTATTGTAACTCTCAATATTTTGGTCACCCATATAAATGTCCTCTCTGTATCCTGCTAAGTCCTTGGCCTCAGTGGTGGCATCCTGTGGCAATGGAGTTCCGTACTCTAATCACACGCTGTATGAAAAAGCATTTCCTTTTATCAATTTACCACTGTCTCATTTCATTGAATCTGCCCTTGTTCTTGAGTTAGGAGTCGGGGTGACTAAATCTCCCTTCTATAGACCATTCGGTATTTTATATATTCTTATGATGTCTCCTCCCTAATGTAAACAATGCCAATCTTCTCAACGGCTCTTTATAGGAGTTTTTCCAGGCCCCTAACTGCTCTCACCATTACCTCTTTCAGAGCCCCCTCTAATTGTGCAATATCCTTTTGAAATGGGGTGACCAGTACTGCATACATTATCTAGTGGAGGCCGGATTGCTGATTTATACAAGGGCATTACATTTTCCATATTTTCTATTCCATTCCTTATGCTTCCTGACATTTTGGACCTAGTACAGAACCTTGCATTCCACTACCCTAGTGTCATGAGACTGCAAAGCTGCTCAAGCCAGCCCATGGGGAAATCCCCTAACAAGAGCTGGTCAGGAATTTTTCATCAGAAAATGCAGATTCGTTGGGTGCAGGGATGAAATGGGCCCCTATTGCAATACACAACGTTTCCCAGTGAGTTCTCCTTGGGGCAATGATAGTGCTAGAAGAATGGCAAGACTGGGTCCTATTCCATGCTTTGCCATAGGCCTGCAATCTTCAGCCTCAGATTCCTATAACATGGGGCTAGTGTCCCTCCCTCTCAGGGAGGTTGTGAGGCTGAACTCACTAATATTTATGAAGTGTTTTGAGTTCCTGGGGTGGAAAGTGACCGTCTTCACTATATGCACTATACTCTCCATTGGACAATTCAACTCCCAAGAAAACATGGAGAGTCATCGCAAACCCCACCCTTCACCATCAGTCTGAGACATGCCCAATAGGAAATGCACAAGAGTCATGTGAACTCTGACCCTGTATTGTTTCCAACAGCACTGGATGTCTTAGTGCTGAAGGTGTTCTAAAACCCAACAGCACCACGCCCAGCCTCAGCACCACAGTGCTGGTGCTGCCAGATTCCTGTGGAGGACAGGGGGGTCTCTCTCACCTGACTCATCACCTCATGGGTCTCTTTTCTCTCATCTCTCAGCACACCCAACTCTGCCTGCAGTTCCTCCTGCACCTCCTTAGCTTTCTGCAGCAACTGCTCCAGATGAGTTTTCTCTGCACAGAGCTCCTCATTTGCTCTTTCGGACAGGCTCAGCTCCTCCTGCACAGAGGCTGTTGCTCTCTGCATGTCCTTCACTTTGCTTGACAAAGCCTGATTCTCCTGCTCCAACTACAGTCAAGGAAAAAACAAAAAGGAAATCAAGGAGCAGAGAACACAGACGTACTCTTTTTGGGGCCTCTGCCCTGGGCAGAGAACACTGTGCCATGTCCACACTCAGTCAGCCCCAGTATTCCCTGGAGAAGCTTGAAGGAGACCTCACCAAGGTAAACCCAACCCTTGGAGACCTCTACTCACCTGCAGGACAAGCTGATTCAACTGCATTTTATCCAAAGCTAGAGCCTCATTCATGCCACTCATCTTCTCAGCCACATCATGCAGATCAGCGGTTTCTGCCTTCAGTTTATTCTGAACCCCTGTCAACTCAGCAATTGACTGTTCTGCCTAGCAGGGCAAAGAAGAAAGGAAGGAGATGAAAACAAAACCCCTCAAAGGCTTCCCTTGCTTTAACCCAAGGATCGCCTTTTCCATACCAAACCCCTGACATCAGCTGTGTCTCCAAGACAGTCCTCCTCCCTCATACCCAAAGTGCATCCCTCTCACCATACACACCCCTAATCCTCTAGGAATTCCTCTTTCCCTCTAGTCGGGGTCCCAATACTCTCTCAGCCATCCCTCTATGCACATGAAGGCTTAACTCCCTGAAGTGTTTTTCTGGCTTGATTCTGGTGTCCCCTTATGGGAGATAACACTATCTAGCCTTTTCATACTGCAGGGAGCAGTGTATGGTGAGCCTGCTATTTGAACTCTCTCTTGAAATAACAAGCTGGGCTTGATGCTGCCTGGGAATAACAGATGAGCCCGTACCCTCTCCAGTGCCATGGCAAGCTCATGTTTCTCTTGCTTCATCAACTCCCCATCAAGGTGAGATTTCTCCAGCGCCTCCCTCCTGGCAACCAACTCGCTCTTTAACAATGAATGCTTTGCTTCAAGTGCAGCTAAAGCCTTCTGACTGAGAGGGGGGGAGGGAGACAGACAGAGAGATAGACACACAAACACACACACACACAATGGTGGAAGGTGGGAGAGAGAGGAGAGAAGCTTTTAGATTTAAAGGCATTATCATTTCAAAATCCTAGGCAACAAGAAGACATGTCCAAATGACTCCTATCCCAGACCCGCTGTTTCCCAGCCAATTCCAACAGCCCTTCTAGGTCTCAGGGTCCAAGGACATTATTGGCTTGAGCCATTCATCCTCTGTCTCTGCTGTGGGTGAGAGGCCCTGGAACTGGCCAGCTGTGCAATGCTGGACATGGAAATGTTCCTCACCTCAGTGGGATTACCCTGATTTTAGAATTCATAACATTATCCAGCCATGCTATTGACTGTCTGACCTTCTTCAGTTACAAATTCCACAAGCTGAATACACGTTGCCTAAAGGAGCTCTGAGCACTTCAGAGGATGGTGGGAGCTAGCTCAAAAATAGAGCTCCATTCCCACCCCTACAGTTCAGTGAACAGATGTCAACGAGCTTTGCAAACCACACAGGACATAAATTAAATTTATCTACCCAAAGTGATACTATTTCCTCTCATTCAGATACCAAAATACCCCCAACAAACCATAAGATACCAACTTTGAAACAACTTAAACCTAAGTAAATACCAAAAAAGTAAATTAATAACATTTAAAAAGAGAATCCTACCCCAAGCAGAGATTTTACCCTGAAAAGTAAACGTGACAGAGGCCCCATGAAGTCTGCTAGAGATTTTGTTATTGCTATTGATTTTATGTGGAAGGCACTTGGGCCATATTTTTAAAAGTGGTCCCTAAAGATGCAGATAGGTGTTCTTGAAAGTCCCACTAGGCACCAAGGTGCCTAACTCCCATTTAAGTCAATAGTAGTAAGATGCCTAGGCTCTTCTGAAATCCCACCAGGCATCTTTAGGCATGTAAATACCTTTAAAAACCTGACCTTCAGATACTACAGTGATGGGCAGTGGTATAAAAGCCTTATGCAACTTGATGTTGTCAAGTGAAGCTGCTACGAAATAAAACCACATTATTCCCTTTCCCTCTTCCGTGGAGACAGTTCAAAGAAGAGCTACATGAATGATTTGTGGTCTGAAAAAATAATTTACAGTGAGAGACTAGAAGTTCAATCTACTTCATTTATCAAAAAGGGTATGTTAAGAAGCTATTCAATAAGCCTGTAAGTGACTACACCAGGGAAGCTATCAGATATTAGAGGGCTCTTCCGTCTAGCACTCAAAGGCAGAACAAAGTCCAATGACTGGAAGCTGAAGTCAGTAAAATTCAAACTGGAAATGAGCAAATGTTTGACAGTGAGGGTAATTAGCCTCTGTAACACATTGCCAAGGGATGTGGTAAATTCTCCATCACTTGAAATCTTTAAAGTATGATTAGATGGCTTACTATAGGAGATACTCTAATTAAATTACAAGTTAATGCGTTAAATGCACGAAATACTGAGTGAAATTCTATAGCTTATGCTGTGCAGAAGGTTGCACTAGTTGATCACAATGGTCCTTCCTGGTCCTTACATCTATAAATAACATAGCTTACTTGATAGAAGGCCTTGAAGGAGGCATGTTGACTTTAACAGCTATTACAAAGTTGTGGTCATGACTCCATAGTTGATCACATTGGATTTATAAAGAATAATCAAACCTGATTGCTTGTTTGAACAGAATTATAACACTAATGAGAGGAATGTAGACGTGATCCAAACAATCTGTGGGGCCACTGGAGAATCAAGGTGTTAAAGGAGCACTCAAGGAAGACAAGGCCGTTGCAGAGAAGCTAAATAAATTTTTTGCATCAGTCTTCACTGCCAAAGACGTGAGGGAGATTCGTACACCTGAGCGATTCTTTTTACGTGACATATCTGAAAACTGTCCCAGGTTGACATGTAAGTAGAGGAGGTTTTGGAACAAACAGTAGTAAGTCACCAGGACCAGATGGTATTCACCCAAGAGTTCTGAAGGAACTCAAATGTGAAACTGCAGAATTGCTAACTGTGGCATGTAACCTATCACTTATGTCAACTTCTCTACCAAATGACTGGAGGGTAGCCAATATAACATCAATTTTTAAAAAAGGCTCCAGAGGAAATCCTGGCAATTACAGACGAGTAATCCTAACTTCAGTATCCGGGAAACTGATTGAAACTCTAGCAAAGAATAGAATCATCAGATACACAAATGAAAACAATATGTTGGGGAAGAGTCAAAAAGCTTTTGCAGATGGAAATCATGACTCACCAACCTATTGAAAATGTTTGAAGGAGTCAACAAGCATGTGGACAAGGGTGATCCAAGTGATATAGCGAATATGGACTTTCAGAAAGCTTTTGACAAGGTCCCTCACCAAAGGCTCTTAAACAAAGTAAGCAGTCATAGGATAGGAGGAAAGGTCCTCTCATGGATCAGTAACTGATTAAAAGATAGGAAACAAAGGATAGGAATAAATGTTTTCACAGTGGAGAGAGACATATAGGAGGTTCCATCAAGGATCTGTACTGGGACCTGTGCTGTTCAACATATTCATAAATGAACTGGAAAAGGGAGTAAACAGTGAGGTGGTAAAATCTGAAGATGACACAAAATTATTCAAGATAGTTAAGTCCAAAGCTGACTGCGAAGAATTACAAGGGGAAGTCAGTAAACCAGGTGACTGGGCAACAAAATGGCAGATGAAATTCAATGTTGATAAGTGCAAAATAATCTACACTGGAAAACATAATCCCAACTATACATACAAAATGGCGGGATCTAAATTATCTGTTACCACTCAAGAAAGAGATCATAGCCCACGAAAGCTTATGCTCTAATAAATTTGTTAGTCTCTAAGGTGCCACAAGTACTCCTGTTATTTTTGCGGATACAGACTAACACGGCTGCTACTCTGAAACCTGTCATAGAGTCATTGTGGATAGTTCTCTGAAAACATCCGCTCAATGTGCAGCAGCAGTCAAAAAATGCTAACAGAATGTTAGGAACCATCAGGAAAGGGACAGACACAAATATCATAATGCCACTATATAAATCCATGGTATACCCACACATTGAATACCGTGTACAGTTCTGGTAGTCCCATCTCAAAAAAAGATATATTAGAATTGGAAAAAAAACAAAAAGGGCAATAAAATGATTAGAGGTATGGAACAGCTTCCGTAAAAAAAGAGATTAAAAAGACCAGGACTGTTCACCTTAGAAAAGAGACGACTAAGCGGGGGATATGATAGAAGTCTATAAAATTATGGATGGAGAAAAAGTGTTATTTACCCTTTCACCTATCAGAAGAACCAGAGTAACCCAATGAAATAAATAGGCAGAAAGTTTAAAATTAACATAAGGAAGTACTTCTTCACACAACACACAGTAAACCTGTGGAACTCATTGCCAGGGGATGTTGTGGAAGTCAAAATTATAACTGGGTTTAAAAAAATTTACTAAGTTCATGAAGGATAGGTCCATAAATGACTATTAGCCAAGCTGGTCAGGGACACAACCCCATGCCCTGAGTGTTCCTCAATCTCTGAGTGCCAGAAGCTGGGACTGGATGACGGGATGGATTACTCAATAACTGCCCTGTTCAGTTCATTCTTTCTGATGCACCTGGCACTGGCCACTGTCAAAAGTCAGGATACTGGGTTAGATGGACCATTGATCTGGCCCAGTATGGCCATTCTTATAATCTATAGATTAATAATGAAAGTATTTGATACTGTGTCTCAGAATCTTAACTGAAAAAATGAGTTCTAATTGGCTTGCACAGAAACAATGCAATAAACACTAAAAACTGTCCTTGGGAAGAGATCTAGTGGGATGCCTCAAGCATTGAGGTTAAGTACCAGTATGATGGGGGCAGTTCAATTTTGGGAGTCAGAGAGGGAACCCTTCTGGATTCATAGCACGCTCAAGATGGTCCCTGGGAGGAAATCCTAGTGCCCTTAATCGAGGATCAGCAGGGATTAAATAAATATTTGTTCAGAGGGTGAGCCTCGATAACCTCCAGATTAGCTTGATGACACTGCTTGGAGGGCATGGGGGGACTTATGAGCAGTACAACAGTTCACAAGTAAGGACAACCGCCTCGAGATCTGGGAATGGTCAGTCCTCTCTACATGTGATATAACTGCTGCTGTTAAAGACCACAAGGAAACAGTGACAGGGCCAGGCAGATATTATGGGTTTTATTTGGTTTGTTCTGCTAATAGGCTGATAGCTGGGGGAAGGATAGCTCAGTGGTTTGAGCATTGGCCTGCTAAACCCAGGGTTGTGAGTTCAATCCTTGAGGGAGCCATTTACGGATCTGGGCAAAACTCTGTCTGGGGATTGGTCCTGCTTTGAGCAGTGGGTTGGACTAGATGACCTCCTGAGGTCCCTTCCAACCCTGATAGTCTATGAGAAATACCATGCCTAGAAAGAGAGGTGTTTACTCAACAAGAGCATTTGTATCTGAGACTGGGGGTGAATCCAGCCTTGTTTAAATTATTAATGGCTGGGGAGAGGGCATACCACCCCTCAATGAAGTCACAGCTGACACCAATGGAGAGAGTTCTTAATACCATCATGGACAATGAAATAATGCAAAGGGGGGTCAATGAAAGTCAATTGTGGAAAGAAAAGAATAAGGGTTCTGCATATGCTTGAAAGCTTGTCTTTCTCACCAACAGAAGTTGGTCCAATAAAAGATATTGCCTCACCCACAGTGTCTCTCTAGAGAGAAAAATAAGACATTCCTTTTAGGAAATATAGGCTAATATACAACAGGGAAATGATCAACAGGAGGCAAAAATCTGGGAAGCAGGAACACCAAAAACCGATCTAGTTAGACAGAAGTTTGCAACCTGATGTGGCTGCAAAAAAGCCAACATAGAATTGGGTGTGACCAGGTATAGGCCCCTCACTGGCCAAGAAGGTGTTAAGGAACAGTTATTGGATAAGGAGGCCCCTCTCCTTAGCCCTTATGAGCATGCTCGGACTG